AGTGCAATCGATTGTCCTATCAGACGTCTCCACAAAAATCAAGACAAAGCACCTTCTTCACCTGCACGAAGAGGTCGAGGACCAGCACACAATCCCTCTTCCCCTTCAAAAAGCACTATGCTTAGAATAAAACGAGACTCTTCAGGCAGTGCCATCCTGCAGCCTATTCATCGTCGCAATACTGTCTGCAGCTCCCAGGGAACTCCATCTAAAGGAGTAGGACGTAGGGGTCGCCCACCAGCAGATCGCACTGTAAGGGTAGCCACAACAATGTCGCGGCACAAACCTGGGCCAACAGGCAAACCTAAGAGTTCAAAACAAGTGGAAAGCAAAACAAAATGCAGTCGTGTTTCAGGAATACCTCAAGGAAGACACAGCAGAACAGAAAGAGGAACACAGGTAAAGGAGAATAGAAAGGTTATGAAATGTGCAACCAGAAAAAAGACTCCCGAGGTTCAGTATAATGTTATGAACTGGGATGGTTCCAACCATCAGCATCTTCATAGCCATCCTCTTTACAAAACCATAAAGGAAGAGCCAGCTGACCCATTGCCCCTAGCACAGCCATTCCCAACTAATGATCCCTCAGATTTGGGAAAGCGTCAGAGCAAACCACCCGTCAAACTGTTGGATCAAGGCTTCCTCTTTGGCCTCTGTCGACCACCAAGTGGCATCAAACGAGAGGAGGAGAGTGTGGACATCTACCTGACTCGGTCAGTGTCTCACGGAAGTAGTTCCAATTGTGATTTGTCACCTGGGAAGAAAGATCGGTTAAGGGCCAGGTTAATGCCAGATCGGACGGGTCTAAATGGGCCTCACTGGGCTGGACTTGGCAACAGACAATCACCCTTTTCCCAAAGGATTGGCATTCAAGTGAAGACGGAGAGAAATGAAACGAACACATCACACGTTAGCCGAAGTTCAAGACACCCCCAGGTCAGTAAGAGGAGTTGCAAAGTGACAAAAGAGCCTACAAAGACAAAGGTGAGGAAAGGTTTTTCTCATGCTAGCAATTCATGATGTTTATTCACATACTACGTTACTATTTTATAAACATTTGTGCAGTCTATTTTATAAACACTTGTCAGTCATTGGAAAGAATGATGCTAAATTTAAACTAGTAATAAACATAAAAAGACACTTATTTATTTTTTTTGTCTTTGTAGAATGTAAATAAGCTGCTTCCTCTAAGCAGTCGCCGTTCCGTCCTACTGGAATCTATCCGACAGTCACGTCTGAAACAGCAGAAGGGTCCTCAAGACAAGTCCTCCAAAGGCCCACATGCTTGCCTGCAGTGTAGAGCCTCCTACAGGGACTGTGATGCCCTTATAATGCACCAGATCAAGCATATTGAAGGCAAACACTGGCCCTGCCCGGTATGTAAAATGGGATGACATCAGTGCATCTACAGTGTCTATAGTGCAAAGGTTTCAAACTCAATTCCTGGTTGGCCGCAGCTCTGCGCAGTTTTGCTCCAGCCCTAATCAAACACAGCTGATCCAACTAATGAAGGTGTTCATGACTCTTTTAAACACCTTGATTATTTGAAGTTGGAGCCAAACTGTGCAGAGCTGTGGCCCTCAAGGAATTGAGTTTGAGACCTATACTTTAGTGCATCATCATTCAGATGAAGATGATTTAGTATCAGTTCAGTAACAGACCAAATTACCTAATTTGTTGCTGTAGCATACTATGGCAAAGGAGGCAAGACGCATTTGCAAGTAATTAAAACTGCTACTATTTTAAAAGCCCACATCTGGGAAAGGCGGAACACAATGTTGAACATGTTGTTATTTTAGGTTTGATAAATTCAAGAAAATAGCTTTCTTTGGACAGGTAAAATGAATGGTTCAGTTCTTATACCTAACTGCTTTTATTTGAGTAAAACTGAGGATGCAGTCCAATGTGATATCGACATATCTTTGATAACGAACTGAACTGTGAGACCTGTGTATATCTACTGTTGGGCTGCGTTATTAACAGGTGATTTTCATGCCCATTTTGTCAGTACAACCTCCAGCATTTGCATTCAGGGAGCAGAGTTTGAGTCACAATTCACTGATAAACTACGCAAAAACGGTTTTAAAAATTAATTTGATTTAATCAAACGATTATGATAGTCCTTCTGTGATAATGACAGCTGTTTGTGTAGCTTCTTAGTAAACTAATGATCTGTATTGTGTAGTAAAAGCTGCAAGCAGGGTGTACGCGGGGTCTTAAAATGTCTTCAATCTCAAAAGCTAAATTTTAGAACTTAAAAGGTCTTAAATCTACTGAAATGTTGTGTTGTAGGTCTTAAATCTTTTTTTTAACAGGTCTTAATTTTCACGCATAGCTACCCAATCTGGCCATTAACACCCATACAATCAGCAACAGTCCATCTCAATAAAACTCTTTATTTAAAAATAGCATTTAATTGCTTTCTTTACAGTAACATTTGCTTAAAAGTTCTTCATTTATTTACTGCTAAGGATATTGACCTGACCTGTATTTATTATTATTATTAAATTATTATTATTGAAGACTGAAGTAAAAGTAAGAGTTAAAGGGTTTGTAAATGGGTATATTTGAAAATTAATTAAAAATATTCAAACAAAATAATTCTTATTAATTTAATGTTTTTTTTTTTTGATAGGGCAAGTAAAAATCTCTAACTGGGATATTCAAAAAAAAAAAAAAAAACTCCTTAGCATTTAGTCCTGTGTAAGTGTAGCATTTCATAATGGTACAATAACATTCATAATGTTTTAAAAGTCTTAAATTTACCTTGGTGAAACCTGCAGAAACCCTGTGCAAGTGAAACTACCACATATAACAACATACTTTTACCCCAAACTCCCCTCATAACTTCAGTCAAGTGTTTGATATTAATACTGTGAGAAGATTCTATATTCATGTCTATATAGACCATTTCATTAATGTTAAAACAGCTATCATAACATTATTTATCATTATGTGGTTCTTTTTGGATTCTCAGAAGCTATAGAAATTAAAAATGTAAAACAGGAAATACATTGGGAACATTGTTTTAGTTTACATCCCTAAACATGGTCTATTGGGGAAAACTGCATAAATAATAAATGACATGAAATTAACCTGGAAATAAATGAAAGACACTTTGCAAATTATAATTTTGAGATCAATCATAAACAAACTGTCTATACTAGATGTCGAATAGAACATTCTAGGTTGACTCATTGACTTGTATTTGTATCTACTGAATAACGAAGCACCACCTAAATGTAATTACTGCCAAGCTGCTTTTACCATGAAACACATTTTGTTGGAATGTGAAAGTTTGATTACCATTGGACAAAATTTTTATAAGGAGAGCACTTTTTAAAAAAGATATTTTTTAAAAAGGTATGACCAGGACGAATCTTAAACTATTTAACAAAAATTAAACTGAAAATCCTATTTAACTTTGAATATTTTTTGTGTGAATTTTATTTATTATTATTTTAGATATTTAAGTAATTTTTTATTATAATACGAATTTGTTTTAATTATGTGATATTTTTATGTATATGTGGCAATAAATAAATAACATGATCTATTGGTGATGAAAGCTTGTCTATCTACTTTAGGGAGCTAAAATTTGGGGTGCAGATGATTTATTTTCCTTTGAGTAAAAGAGCATCATTTGGAGTTGGAGTAGGTTATTGGTAGAGCACAGGATTTAAGTTGGATCCCAAACCAATTTCTCTGTGTTCACTCCATCATTTCGGCCTACTCTTTATTTAACAGAAAAAACTGTATGTCAGCCATCTTAACCGCTCTGGCTTTGTAGTTCTGTATCTGGCTTCGTCCTTTTTTCATACTTCATTCTCTCTCTTGCAGTTATGCAGCAAGACGTTCTTCAGACAGAGAAATGTGAGAAATCACATAAGGACACACAATACCAAGCTCTACAAATGCCGCCAGTGCATTGCTGCTCAGTGAGGTCAGTCTGTAATCTACAGATGTCTCAATCTTTGGGTTTTCATTTATTTCCACAAGCGTTTTAATGTACGGCTTTCAAATTTTAGGCGAAAAGCTACAGGATAAAATGAAGAGGAACAAAGCTTTGTTCTTTAAATAACGCTGTAAATACCAAGGATCTGTGACGAATGACAATAAGGTTGAGTTTATTGATGTAAATAATTTGATGATGGTTTAAGTGGTCTTTTTGCTCAATAATTGTTGTTGTTATTTAAGTAACTAAACTGAAGTTGCTTCGGAATTGATACAGATATGTTGAAGCTGAACTTGAACCCATGATGTTTTTTTCTCAGGGGCGAAGCCTGATAGTCAAGGTGATATATGTGTATAATGAGAAATGTTTAGAATGCTTTAAATTTGTTAATACTAATGTAATTACTACAGTTGTTATTACTATTGTTATTATTATTATGATTATTTTTTATAAATGGCATAATCTTGAGTGCACTTAATGTTAGCTTTGTTTTGAAACCTAAGAAAGAAGCGATGGACTGGGATGTACTTGAATGATTGTTGGAGTGGAGCCGATGGACTGTCTGGCAATGTTTTAGAGAAACCTCTTACAGAAATTAGTCAGGAATTTTTCAATGAAGGTTGGGTAAATGGGGTTCGAGTTGTTCTAGAAATCACAGAATGGTTAGATGCCATTTTGTGAAAACATTTGTTTGACTACAACTTTTCAATTTGAGAGTTACTGTGTCTTTCAAAACAAGGGAATCCCAAAATGTCTAATGTGATTTTGTTCCCCCCTTTCTCCTCCTCCTCCTTTGATAATTCCTTGTCTGACTTTTTATGCATATCCTTCTTTAACACAAAATGCAATGGACTTATATGAAGTTTTAAATGTTGAGGTGTTTTGTCTGAAAACACAAGTTTAAAATGTAGAACGACCAAATAGCCATATAAATAAATTTTGCATTTTAAAATTTACACCTTTGCATCGTGTGTGTCTGTACTTTCAGGTGTTTTGGTTTATCACACTAATCCCATTTTTTAAAAAAAGAAAAAGAAAGAAGGTATAACGTTTAAAACATTTCTTTTTAATTGTGTATAATTTAATATGCATAGTGGTAGTGAACATGTAAGAAAGTGTTCACCAGTTTAACTTGCATATTACCATTATCAGCGCTTAATCAGATGCTTAAACATCAAATGTCATTATTAAAAATGAGTTTGCAGCAAAATTCTGGAGCAGTTTCAGATGACTGACACTGAAAAAAATGAAGGCACCTAATAAAAATGTTACAAACTACCTCCCTTTTGAATAAATTCACACACACTATTAATATTTTGGCTCATAAAATGTATGCTCAATATTATGACGTGTCAATGTCATCAACCTGTGATAAACATCATTTTCCTGTTTGTTTCATTCATTCATCATCCATAATACTGGTCTATGTGAATATAAACATTTGAGTCCATGTAAAAGAGACCAAAGCTCCAGGTTTTTTAGCCCAGACAAATCCAAAAAATCTTGGTTTTCTGGGAGTTGAGAGCTGTTGGAAGATCAGAGTTTGCGCTTGTCATCTGCACTTTCACAGAGCGCATAGTAACGGTCGTCAGGTAGAGAATGAACAGCCATTGCCGCCTTAAACTCATCTATTGGGCAGTAGATGTTACTGCAGCCTGGGATTTTTTGGTCCTGTAAGCACATTAAAGTAAAAAAATACTTAAATAGAATCTCTAAATATGAATTATTTCAAATCTCCATATGCTGCCGCTATCATTTAAACAACAAAGTTTACCCATTTATCAGCAAGACGTATAATCTTTTAAATTATAATACATTTTTGTATAAAGGCTTATTAAAATACATAACAAGACTAAGCACTATATTAAAACGTCTTTGACTCTTTAACAGTAAAGGCTTTAAATCTGGACATCACAACAAAAAATGACAGCAAAGAAACAATATAAATAGTTTTGATAACAATAATTGTTTCTAATGTTGGTAAATTAAGTTAAGCCAAGTTTTAGTCATATAAATAAAATGTTCAAATGTCTATGGTCAGATTTCCTGATGTACAGTTGAAGTCAGAGTTATTAGCCCTCCTGAATTATTCGCCCCGTTTACTTTCCCCCAATTTCTGGAAGATATTTTTTCAACACATTTATAAACATGATAATTATAATAACCCATTTCTTTTATCTTGGCCATGATGACAATAAATAATATTTTAATTAATAAGTAAGTTAAAAATGTAAAGGCTTAAGTGGATTAATTAGGCAAGTTATTTTATAACAATGGTTTGTAGGGCTGTGCAATTTAGAGGAAAAATCTAATTGCATTTTTTTAAATAATTTTCATTATTATTTTTTTACATTTATTTATTTTTGACTGATTTTGATTTAATTTTGTAGATGAGCTTCAGCTCAATATTCTGTATCGTAGCTTTTTACTGCTAAAATGCAGTGAGTGTTAGTTAAAAAAAGGAACTGGAAAGATATTAACTTAAACATTTATTCATTCATTTCTTGTCGGCTTAGTCCCTTTATTAATCCAGGGTCGCCACAGCGGAATTAACCGCCAACTTATCCAGTAAGTTTTTACGCAGCGGATGCCCTTCCAGCCGCAACCCATCTCTGGGAAACATACACACACACACACTCATACACTACGGACAATTTAGCCTACCCAATTCACCTGTACCACATGTTTTTGGACTGTGGGGGAAACCGGAGCACCCGGAGGAAACCCACGCAAAGGTAGGGAGAACATGCAAACTCCACACAGAAACGCCAACTGAGCCGAGGTTCGAACCAGCGACTTTCTTGCTGTGAGGCGACAGCACTACCTACTGCGCCACTGCCTCGCCCCTTAAACAATTAATCAAATTTATTTTAAAATATTCACAAATGAAACACTCATTTTTGTCTAGACCAGGGGTGTCTAAACTCTGTCCTGGAGGACCGGTGTCCTGGAGAGTTTAGCTCCAACCCTAATCAAACACACCTGAACCAACTAATCAAGCTCATACTACATATATTAGAAACTTCCTGGCAGGTGTGTTGAAGCAAGTTGGAGCTAAACTAAGCAGGAAACCAGCCCTCCAGGACCGAGTTCGAACACCCCTGGTCTAGAGCAAACAGTAAACACAAACAAAATGATCTTACCTTTCTGTAAACAAGTTGAACTGTAATTAGGGAGATAGTGTAGCTTTATTATAAAAACAAATAATAATAATTATAAAATGCATAACACTCTGCAAACTAACATGGCTGAAACAAGCCTGAAATTGTACTTTGCTGTTGCTTGCTACTAGATTAAGTGTCACTTGCAATACTTTCAGTTGACTTTTTAGCAAGACACTCATCACTCAATTGTGTTTACTCAATTGGCTTGTAAGACTATCACACACAGATGGCAGTCACGCATTTGCTCTAGGCGGGGGAAATAAAATAAAATAAATATATTTCATATCACAGCCTCTTGCGATTAGCTACGTTTAGCTACGTTTCAAAACGTGATTTGATTTCGATTAATTGCACAGCCCTAATGATTTGTTCTGTAGACAATCAAAACTAAAATATTGTTTATTGTTTAAAACATTGCTTAATCCTTTGTAAAAATTCAAAACTGCTTTTATTCCAGCTGAAATAAAACAAATAAGACTTTCACCAGATGGAAAAATATTATAGGAAATACTGCGAGAAATGTACTGCTCTGTTATATATCATTTGGGAAATATTTGAAAAAGGGGAAAAAAAGTCCCAGAAGGGCGAATCATTTTGACTTCAACTGTATATTTTGTAAGCGAACTTGCCGAACATTAAAAACAAGTTTTGTATGCTAGGCTAGGCGTGTTTGTTGTATGTTACCTGGTCAATGTAAGAGACTTTTACATAGTGCTGGTTAGTTTGCCGGTGCTGGTAAAGCTCCAGTGTGATGTCAGCTGCATACGGTGGCCACTTCATGTCAAAAACCCCCAAAGCCATCAGACATGGCATCAGAGTGGTGTCGTGCACAGAGTACAGGAACAGCTTTCTGGGTCATTAAACACGCACAATAATACACAAACATCAATTCCCATACACCGTCATTAAATAAGCTCTTTCAGCTGGACTTTTACAGTCTGTCCACTATGGGGCAGCAAATCTAGAGTTTTCTGACTGGCATTTACTGTCTGGAAACAGTAGACAGCAGCAGTTTCTTTTGTCAGTTAAACACAAAAAGAAGATATTTTGAAAAATGCTGTAAACCTGTAACCATTAACTTCCATAGTACCTTTTTCCTACTATGGAAGTTGATGGTTCCAGATGTTTAGCTTTCTTCAGAATATCTTCTTTTGTGTTCAACAGAAGACCAGAACTCATAAAAGTTTGAAACCTGTTGAAGGAGAGTAATAAGTGAGTACAATTTCATTTTTGGCTGAACTATACTGTTTTTAATTGTAACTGCAGGAGGGTGTTTTAACAAATGCATCAGGAAAAGCAAGACGAGTTTCAATTATTGATTAAAATGAATGTACCTGTCTTGTTTAGAGGGGGAGCTTTGTATTTTGTCCTCCATGTTGGTTACGAGCATGTTCAATAGTGGACCCACGCACATCTGCAAATTCTGCCTGAGGAAAAACAAAAACACATACGCATATTTGCAGTCCTTGAACGTATATTTGAGGCCTTAAAGTTTGGTGTAAGTAATATTTTTTTGTTCAAATACATTTTCCAAACGTCTTAAAAATATACAATTCATGAGTTTATCCCAAAGGAGTAAACATTGAGTCTTCACAACGCTATTAAAACAATCTGTCAATCACTTTCCAGGGTGACCAATAGATGAATTACCGGTTTGTAAACACTCAGGATGCGCGCGCAGCAAGGTTTGAGAAAAAACTTGCCAGTGCTAGCATTTACAGCGAAGGAATGACATCCGATGCGTTTCTGAGTTTGTTGTTGTATTAGAGAGAAGTTATATTGATTACATATTATATATATATTATTTACATAATGCTTTCAGCGTATTATAACAGCTTGTCACCCAGTAATAAGCACAGTGATTCAGCAAAATTAACAGTTAAGTGAGCGGCATTCGTCTGACAGGTCCATTTGCGATAGCACCCTCCCAATAAATATTGGATACAATGAAATGGCCAAGCATCCAGCATCAAATATACAACTATCCCACTGAAACTCCAAGTGATTTTACAAGAGAGAAGTTAAAGGCCTACAAGTTTTTGGATGCCTACATTTGTGTTCTGTGTGGTCATGTGCAGGAAATAATGTTCCATGATTACCAGATTTAAAACTTTGTAGTGCTAAAAACCGAGGTTCTGCCTAGCCAAAGACAAGGAAGGAAGACGAAGCTGTACAAATTAGGTTGTCACCCTATTCAGATCCTTTTAGTTGACGTCTGCGGTCGAATTTGGCATCCTACTGCACAACACCACATGTTTGCTATTGCAGCCGGTATTTTTCACAACCGGGAACTGGTGTGAAGTAGGTTGGTAATTTCTCTATAACTTGAATTTAAGGCGCAGCTACCGTAGCAGATTGGCCAAAATAAGGCAGATGGAGTGTTGTTGCTAGATCAGATATGGCTATGGCCGGAAGTTAACGAAAATGATTTATTATATTTCCCATTAATTTTATTAGATTAACATTCACCCTGACAGTAAACCCAACCATCACAGTAACTTAAAAACAGTTGTACAGAGTATAATTTTTGCTATCTATTAAATTACCCAATAAATTGTATTTTATTATCACCTACCCCCACCCCAACCCTAAACCCAACCATCACAGTAACGTAAAAACAGTTGTACCGAGTATGATTTCTGCTATCTATTAAATTACCCCCCAAAAAATTGTATTTTTAACGTCTACCCCCAACTCTAAACCCAACCATCACAGTACTGTAAAAATATGAACTATTGTTATACAGTGTCATAAGAAATGCTGCTATATTAACGTGCATATCCCACTTCCGGCCAACCATGTATCCCATCTAGACTTTACCCAGATGGAGTACATTAGAAATGCTTTTACAAGAATAATGAATTTGATGGAATTTCTGGCACTTTTTTTTCTTCAGATAAAGTAATTTATGTTTTTGCAACACAACATCAATCCAGCCCCATTGAAAATTTAAATATAAATATTGAAATATATTGACCTTACTCTTATGAGTGAGCAGCCATTTGAATCTTTTTGGCTCGAGACTTCCTGTCTCATTCACTTCTATGGAATTTTAGACATCAAAAACAGCTTGTTATGCTGCAAACGGATATTTTCTAATTATATTCTCCTTCTTTTATGTATAGCTATAATGTAGAGCAAGTAGTTTGTCTGTTTTCTGCCATTAATCATTCCTTAATAGGCAATTGAATCGGAAATTATAAACTAATCGCAAAAACAAGCACACTTCCGCATTGCAGAATAAGGTCAATAGAATAGTATTTTCCTTTATGTGAAAAGAGCATTTGCTGGTTTTTTTGAACACTTGATACTTGAAATTTCATTAGATTTCAATGGTAGCACAAAAAATGTCATACTTATAAACTTAAAAATACATTTCTTCAACATTTGAGAGACATGTACTTGACTGTGTACTCACCTTTTACTGGGCTCATAGATGTGGTATATCATATCGACTGCTCTCTGCTCTATGGTACTTCTCCACTGCTCCAGAACTGTAGGAAGTGGCAGGCCATGGGTCTAGGATCAATAATGGAACTGAATTATCTGAGAAACAATGCCAATGTGGATGCACCGGTACAAGGTATCAGCAATGGGAACATTACCTCTCTGGCCACCATGTCATCTCGGATGAGGATGAAGTCGAGACGCTGTTGAGCATCCACACCCAAATCGTCCTGGATGTTCTGCAGGTCTGCAGCAATGTCAGGAAGTGTGGATGATTCTGCCCAACGATTGCTACATTTGATGGACCATAGTCAATTCCAGACAGTGTTCAACCAATCACAAGCCAATCCTCATTTTACTCATACAGAGCTATAATGTTGATATATACTATTATGAAATGTGTATATATACACTTTAAATGTTGAATACGGTGAGTGTTAAAGTGGAAATTATTAGCCCTCCTGTGATTTATTTATTTTTTTCAGGCCAATATTATTAGCCCTCTTAACCAAACATTTATTTATTTTTTTGATTGTCTACAGTAAGCCCACTAGTGTTTCTTCCCATAGAAATAAACTTCTGGTGAACGGTTAAGCTAATGTGTAAAGAAATTAGTTATTAGAATTAAATTATTCAAACTATCATGTTTGGAAATGTCTTATAGAAATATTCTTTCAGGTAAACAAAAATATTTTTATGAAATCAAAAGATTCTGAAAAAAATAAAGGTTACAGAGTCAGGCTTGTGAACCAATGACCCAAAAGTGAAAAGTTTGAGTCTCAGCTCTGGAAGGAAATGTAGGAGAAGGAAAAAAATGACCTGTTCCACTCTCAATACCACAATCTGAGCAAAGCACCGAACCCCAAACTGCTTCTACAACTGTGTGTGTGTGCACACTTGTATAAGTGAAATGCAAAGCAAAAACTATGAGTATGGGAAAACTACAGCCATAGAGAGAGAGAGAGAGTTGCAACAGGAGTTGACTTTATTGGAACATTTTTTTTTTCAACAGCGATGATAGTTCCCGGAAGTTAGAATTTACAGCTGAGGATGACTGGGTTTTCGCTTTTGAAAGGTATGGAGTTTTTAAAAATAAGATTTTCTATGTTTTAACATTATCTAAGATCATTTGAATCAGCGCAAAGCACTTACTCGAACTATTGGAGTTCTACATGATAACTGAACACTTTGGACTTCCATTGTAACAATCTCTATCCCTCTATGCCTCTGAGGAAACCATACTTAGACACATAAAACAAAATGTTCATTTAAACACATACAGTTGATTTAATAGTTTTAATAGCTCATTTCTATACACTTCTATACAGCTTAAAGTGACGTTTAAAGGCTTAACTTGGTTTATGAGGTTAACTAAGCAGGATAGGGTAATTAGGCAAGTTATTTTATAACAATGGTTTGTTTTGTAGACTATCAAAATATATATCTAGCTTAAAGGGGCTAATCATTTTAAAACTAAATAAAATATATATATATATATATAAAAAAAACTGCTTTCATTCTAGCCAAAATAAAACAAATAAGACTTTCTCCAGAAGAAAAAATATGATCAGATCTACTGTGAAAATTTCCTTGATCTGTTAAACATCATTTGGGAAACATTTAAAAAAGAAAAATAGTTCAAAGGGAGGCTATTAATTCTGACTTCAACTGTACATACAGGATACAGTATTCTGTTTATTACAGAGCAATCTTTTCGCTTCGTAAGACCAAAATGTATCATCAGCCACAGATATTAATTTTGTTTTTCCTCTATGTGCTTTTTGACTGTGAACATGACAATAGCTGTTGATGTATTTTGTGAATCATAAAGACTAGTCTTTTATACCAACTAAACTGAAGAAAAGGTGAGTAAACTGACAGTCAGTGTATAGTACTATTCCTTTTTGTTTCCAAAATGAACAACAGATCACTATGAGTGGTTCTCTATGAAAGTTGTTGTTTGTTCAGTTTTACCCGATGAGCATCTTGAGCAGCTTGCATCCATGATAGTTGGGATAGAGGACTTCCTTCTCAGCCTTATCGGTGAGGATGGACACAACACCTTAAAGTAGAGAAAATCAAACATGGAAAGGCAAACACAGGAGTGTGTAATGTTCATCTCGTCAATTAATCCAGCAAACCACACAAAAAGTGAAGCTGAGATGCACCTTACCTGCCTGCTCCTGTTGAAACAATCCAGCCACCAAACACTTAGCTGACTCAATGGTGCGTACAATGTTGGTAGAGCGAATGCTGTAAATCAGTACAGCAACTTAAAGTCATAAACAAATTCAACATATATTTTTTTGGTAACAACAGTAAAATACATTACCTTAATTAATGAAATAGCTAATGCATCCTAATGTTTGCAATTGTTAATTAATAAAAAAATACATCTATTAGTAGTTATACACAACCTTTTATTTTAGTAATGGTCTTGAAAATGTTGACATTATGTGGGAGTCAATTAAACAAAAAAACATCACTATAAGTATATACTTACTGGCCATTTTATTAGGTATGTCTTACTAGTACCAGGTTTTTACCCCCTTTTGCCTTCAGAACTGCCTTAATCCTTCGTGGCATAGATTTAACAAGGTACTGAAAATATTCCTCAGAGATTTTAGTTCATATTGACATGATAACATCACGCAGTTGCTGCAGATTTGTCAGCTGCACATCCATGATGCGAATCTCCCGTTACACCACATCCCAAAGGTGCTCTATTGAATTGAGATCTCGTGACTGTGGAGGCCCTTTGAGTACAGTGAACTCATTGTCATGGTCAAGAAACCAGTCTGAGATGATTCACGCTTTATGACATGACACGTTATCCTGCTGGAAGTAGCCATCAGAAGATGAGTACACTGGTCATAAAGGGATGGACATGGTCATCAACAATACTCAGGTAGGCTGTGCCGTTGACACGATGCTCAATTGGTACTAATGGACCCAAAGTGTGCCAAGAAAATATCCCCCACACCGTTACACCACCACCAGCAGCCTGAACCGTTGATACAAGGCAGGATGGATCAATGCTTTCATGTTGTTGACATCAAATTCTGTGTGAAATGTAGCCCTAGTTTTCTGTTCTTAGCTGACAGGAGTGGCACCTGGTGTGGCCTTCTGCTGTTGTAGCCCGTCTGTCTCAAGGTTGGACCTGTTGTGCGTTCGGAGATGCTTTACTGCATACCTCGGTTGTAACAACTGGCTATTTGAGTTACTGTTGCTTTTCTATCAGCTGGAACCAGTCTGGCCATTCTCCTCTGACCTCTGGCATCAACATGGCATTTGCGCCCACAGAACTGCAGCTCACTGGTTATTTTCTTTTTTTCGGACCATTCTCTGTAAACCCTAGAGATGGTTGTGCGTGAAAATCCCAGTAGATCAGCAGTTTCTGAAATACTCAGACCAGCCCGTCTGTCACCAACCATCATTCAAAGTCACTTAAATCACCTTTCTTCCCCATTCTCATGTGTTGTTTTGAACTTCATTGAGTTGCTGCCGTGTGATTGGCTATGTGAACGAGCAGTTGGACCTAACAAGCAGGTGTACCTAATATAGTGGCCAATGGCATAGGTGTATAATTTAAGTGTTACTCATTCTTCCTCCTTAGTAAGACGCAATTTAAGGTGACATTTTTGCAAATGGTGCAATAAAATATACATATTTCAATACACAATCATCAACTGCACTCACTATACTTCTTTAGGGTTGAAAGTAGGCGTAAGAAAGGGCTCCTCCTGGATGTATTTCTTTCGTAACCTCACTCCCAGATCATACAGCTGCTGCATGCCTATTGTGGTCAGCTGACCTGGATAAGTTCCACCCTATAGAAGCAGGAATTAAAAAATATAGTATCATCTTTTTTCTTAATATGACAGGCTGGCAAAATTTTCACCTAAACAGAGTTAAGACTGCTATGGTTTACACAGTAAATGGCAGACATAATCAACCCACTTAATTCCAAACATGTCCCCAACAGTCTAAACATGCCTGAAAATGACACTACAGGGTGGGTGAAAAGTAACCAGGCATAAAATATTGGTAATAAATATCCTTATTTTATGTAATACTGTCTTTTCTGCGCAATGTCTGTACTATCAATTAAATCATATTTACAATTATTTATTTAGAGACTGTTTTAACCATAACTCCAGTTATACTAAGTTCTATTACCATTATATAACCTATTTACATTTCTGCAACCTGGAAATGAGCAAAAAATGTTGAAATCCAATGTTTCTTTGTGGAGCATTCCATTTCATAAAAACATGGTGTTTCATTTTCTACTCTATTCAAAAAGCTTTATGTAATATACAATATGATGCAAGGGATTTGCTCTTTAAGACGAAAAATGACTATAATTATCTTTCATCGACATAAGTTTATGCTCCAAGATGAGGATAACATTGTGAAATGATTTATTCTCACTTGTGATGGATTCATTTATATATAATAAGAAGTCACGTGAATGAAAAAAGAACCTTCACTTAACTTTAAAGTTGGACACCACAGTGTTTTTCATTATATAAAGCAAAAATGTGGCGCAAATACTTAAACATAAACTTACTGTCAATATTTTGGCTCTGTAGCTGTCCTCCACAGGAGCTGGTGGTCTGGGCCCGCCCTCCAGGTCTGTAACCATATAGTCTATTTTTGTGTGCGCAGGCGCTTCAAGTAGCTCAGGGGACCATTGTGCCTAGGAAGACATAACACTAGATAAAGCTGGCATCAACATGTAGACTATTACAATATGACAGTGCCACTGTCTCTCAGTAAGAAGCATACTGTTAAGATTGAGGCCGACAAATTACAAGCGTCTAAACAATTAGGAATAAATGGCCCATTTGTGCATTCTCTAAATTCCTCTGAGATTTGTATAACTGAAAAAGTTTGTCAGCATTTCACCTTAAGCCCACATTAAAACTCTGGCCTGAGAAGAGCACTCATCACCCAAACATACCTCCAAAACATCTGGTATGGATTTCAGTGGCGTCCTCGCTCCATGTCGGAATAAAACCTGAATTAATTTGAGCTCATATGGAGAGGCTTCAGTTTTATTCTTTTGAAACCAGAACACTGACCCGAGGGCCACTGAACCCACGAGACCCACCCGTGCCCACATGATGCACCTGAAAAAGAAATGTACACTTAAATGAGTATTATTTTGGGGGGACATTTACTGTATATGTTTTATGTGCTACCCCAACATAAACTGAACAGCACTTTATTAAAATTCTTTATCAGTTACAACATGACAAACTTATTTACTGGATTAAAATGTAAAGGTGGCATATATGACATACAGTAGTCTACATTTGATTAGGTCAACTTTTCAGCATTTAGTCACCTTGAAATTATAAGGTTCTATCTGCGTTCTGAATGATTTTGAGATATTGAGCTTCAAAGTTTTTGCATTCCATAGCAGACAGTATGTGTGTAACATTTGTTTTTTAAATAAAAAGTCCTGAAATGTAAACAACTGATAAAAAAACATCCCATGATGTAAATAGGGTATCATTTAATAAGAATTTGTCAATAACTCAATTTTGACAAAAATGTCAGATAGAACCTTATAATTCTAAGGTGACGATTTATTAATATTATAATGTGTTCTTCAATAGTTTAAGAACAAGTTTGATGAAATATTTTGATCCACTTCAAATGTTGACTACTGTACAGCAAATGTTTGTCTACATTTTAAACTAACATGCTTACAATGTGCTAGCTACAAGTCATAAAGACCACTAAGAGACATTTTTAAGTATTACGTAAACATGATTTCTACACTGTATACACTTTATAGTTGTGGACGATATATTGTGTTGATTATATACCAAAACGTGTCAGTACATTTCCATAAGTCCAACAACTTGCCTCATTCAGTTATGCTACCTGTCACATCTGCAAGTTTTATTTACAGTCTCTTTTAAATCGCCAGATATCGTGCGCTAGATTAAATCTATTATGTAAAGCACATTAATATAGATACTATAGAGAATGGTCACTTTAAATATCACTAACCTGAAGGTTTTACAGCCGGCAGAGTTAATTCCACTGGTTTTGAACACCACTCATTCCTTTCAGTTTCTGGCAGACTGGACAGTACGCCGGCAAATTGTGAGGTGCATTCTGGGATATGTAGTTTTAGTTTCGACGATTTTATGGTGAGCAGTAGCGAAAACAGGATGTTGTGTAACTACATTTCCCGTGTTTATCATTGTATGACTCCTTTTCTTGCGTAATGTACTTAGTCATAATGTATATAGTGTCTATTTTTTGCACACTTTTGGTATAGTATTAACACATCGAGCATGTATATATTTAGGATGTAAAATATTACTATGTTATTACATGTTATTGCTGCATGACATTTTGGAATAGTGCGAATGTCGTCTAACGTTAGTTGTCACTGCGAGCCCAACAAAGTGTATAAACCCTGCATATAAATAGCCTAGATTAAAAGTGTAGTTAATAATAGTTAATAATATCAGTTATATAATAGCACTACAGCAACCTATGTAAAAGTCTGCTTAGTGTAGGCTTTGCGTGAATGGTGTGCAGAAAAGAAAGCAACCAATTAAAAGTGCTGGATATTTTTATTGTAGAATGCAAGAAAAACTGGAGACATTGGACACTGTAAAGGCAATCGTATGAGAGAAATTAAGTAAGATCATACTAAGATGCCATACATTGTCAAAATAAAGAGCAACTCTAACACTGATCTTAAATCCAGACATTTGTGCTGCCTATTACAATACAAACCACAGGAGAGGGCAAGTTCTTCAGCGGGATAGCACTCCTTCATACTTCAGCCTCTACATCAAGATCCTGAAAGCAAAGTAGGTCCAGGTGCTCCAGCATTGGCCAGCCCAGTCACCAGATATGAACATTACTAAGCATGGCTGTGGTAAGATGCAGGAGGAGGCATCAAAGATGAATCCAAAGAATCTTAAACTCTGGGAGTCCTGCAAGAACTCTTTCTTTGCCATTCCAGATGACTTTATTTATAAGTAATTTCAGTCATTGCAGAGATGTATGGACGCTGTCCTACAAGCTTATGGGAGTCATACACAATATTTATTATTTTTTCTACTGCGCCATGACTTTATATTCTATACTGTACATTATTTCTGTGACAAGACTTTTGTCTAAGCGAAGTCAGACCTTACTGTCCTAATTAAATAATTAATAGTCAAGGCATCATATATTATTTTGGTAAAACAAGCATAATCTAGAGGCCTCTGTCTTTCATATAAGTCACTTCTGATACCAAATGATCAACTAGAAGTCAAGTTATTATTTGTTGTTCCTAAATCTTGGATAGGCGACAAGACTTTTGTCAGGTAGTGACAGCACAGCTGTACCCAATAACATATCTGTGAAATTGGATTGTGATTATGAATCCACTGTGTCCATATCATACACTCTCACAAAATTCACTTCACATACATTATAGTAAAATGCAGCATTTTCTCATTAAAGCTAATCTGTTCTCATTTTATTGCTAACAAAAAATTCATAAACCATTGGGTATTTACCATGTTTGCAATGAACTTTATTATAAGATGTTTTACATAAGTGCTTTATTGCTTTTGGCTCAAATACAGTGTGTGATTTGAGAGTTTTGAAATGCATACCATGGAAGTTTTTTTCTGTAAATATAAACTATGTCAGTGGCTCAGTGCACAGTACTATCCAGTACTACCTTCTAAATGTCACCAAGTTATGACAGTAGTACACTCCCATTCATCCATTCATTCATTCATCTGATTTTATTCAGGATCACTTGATCCCACCCTATAAAAATCTACACACTTCAGCAATTACAACAGTTTCAATGAAACCAGATTAAATGCTCTGATACAGATTCTTCCCATCTTATTCTAATTAGCCTTGGTTTTATGGTGGTATTTAGTCCTTTCTCATTCCAAATCCCATTTCATAGTACCAACAAACAAGCATATTCAAACACACACATACACAAACTCACATCTCTCATCTTAAGGCTTCCAGCTTCTTTTCCTCAGAAACTGCCACTTTCACGATCTACACGGCCAGATCACTTGGTCTGAGTCGGTTACTACTAGTACCACTGGTCTTGCTAAGCCGGCGCTTGTCTCTGAAGAACCCTGGATGGGAGGATGGTGTGGAAGGGGTACTGGGTGTCATTTCACTTCGAACCCGAGCCTCAGGACTCCCATAATGCATCTGCAGGAAGTCCACGGCTGGCTCCAGGCCATCATGGCTGTGGTGATGCCGCTCGGCGGCCATGTTGACGGAGTTCTGCTGGTGTGCCAGATGGTTGGTGAAGGGCTGGCAGGTTTGGTGGATGTGATGAAGATGGTGAGAATGAAGATGTGGAGGAGATGTTGGACCTTGGTTTGATCTTAAGCACTGGTTGAAATCTGGAGGTGGAGTGCAGGTTTGAGAAAGACGAGGCTGGATGTTCTCAGCCAGATCCATTGGAATGCTTGTCCTGATCGGTTCAATTGCAGAAACAGCTTTGACGTTTTGAATTTTGTCATTGGCATGCTTGTCAGCATGTTTCCTAAGGCATTTTTTGCACTGTTTCCATCCAAGGTGATATAACTCTATGACGCTGAGGAGGAGCGAAACAGCTGCAACCACCAGCATGAACACAATAAAGACATTTTTCTCAGTTGGACGGGACATGTAACAGTTCACAGGGTTGGGGCAGGGAAGCATTGAACATGGATACAGAGCATCCAGGAAGATCCCGTACATCATGTACTGAATCACAATGAAGGTCACTTCCATGACCAGGCGGATCACAATGCTCAGAACATATGTCTGCAGCAGTGCCCCCTTCAGGTGGATTTTTGTCTTTGTATTTTCGAATTTCTCTTTATGTTCCAGATACTCCTTCTCTCCTTTTCCCGCCTCTGCCTTCTCCTCCTGCTCCTTTTGTTTTCTCTTCTCCTCCATGCGGACGGTGTGCATGGCATGGCCCATGTAGATGAGGGAGGGTGTCGATACGAAGACGATCTGCAGCACCCAGTAGCGGATATGAGCAATGGGGAAAGCTCGGTCATAACAGACATTGGTGCAACCAGGTTGTAGAGTATCACACATAAAGTCGGACTGCTCGTCGCCCCATGATGACTCTGCCGCTGTGCCTAACACCAGGATACGGAAGATGAACAGCACGGTTAACCACACCTTCCCAACCGACGTAGAGTGCTCCTGCACTTCTTCGAGGAAATTACCCAAGAGACTCCAGTCCCCCATTACTCCTCACCTACACTGCTGAGGAACAACAAGAAGAACAAAAACAACAATAACATTAATGTACTTTTGAGTAAGATATACAGTAGTCAGCATTTGAAGGGGATCAAAAAATTACTTCAAAGTTGTCCTAAGACAAAAACGTCCAGTGTGCCGTGGTTTTAGGACAGGAGTGTCAAACTCAGTTCCCGGAGGGCCGAAGCCCTGCAGAGTTTAGTTCCAGCCCGAATTCAACACACCTATCTGTAGGTTATAAACAAGCCCTCAATTAGTTTGATCAGGTGTGTTTAATGAGGGTTGGAACTAAACTTTGCAGAGCATCGGCCCTTCAGGAACTGGGTTTGACACCAGTGTTTTAGGACAACTTTGAAGAAAGGCTTTGATCCACTTTAAATGCTGACTACTATATATGAATGGCATGTTAGTATATGGATGGTTTGCAAGTAGACTGCGTTTGTGCTAAATTGACTGTTGGAGGTTAAATCTAGATAAAATACATTTAAAAGGAACACAACAGTGAAGTAAATCAGTTTGCCAGAAATGCACGTAATTAGGAAATGTAATATGTAAAATGTGCCTTATTATTTTCAGTCCTGTTTGAGTGTTGCTTGTCAAACAAACATGTTCTCAGCTATTTGTCACTCTGTGGAATTTCAGTCTTCATTAATGCTAGACTGTAGCAAAGTCAAGACCTCTCGGACATACACAGGAAGACTCATCTGGAATTTTCCATCATGAGTCAGTGACGTGCAATTCGATTGCAGTGGTCCTTAATTTTTCAGTCTGTGAACATATATATATATATATATATATATATATATATATATATATATATATATATATATATATATATATATATATCTTCATACATGAAATTATTGAACTATACAAGAGCCTTAGAAAAATGCTTAGTTATTTCAGAAGAAAAATTCAGACAGCACATTAGAGGTTTCTACGTCTGAACCATAGACTGTAAAATATAGGTCTGAACCACAGTCATTGATCTGAACTCTCCAAGTACTTTTTATTCGAATAAAAGTCTTCCGCCTACATAACCAATCAAAAAGATAACCATACAAGCCAATCAGCTTTTAGAACTACAGCAGCGCGTCTTAAAACCGACTTGTTTGTATTCAGGTAAAGACCATTGGTGAAGACACATTCAAGATAACGTATATATATATAAAACTCTTTAATGAAGAATAACAAAACACGCGATATTGGACAGCAGAGGTATATATTACCTGAAGGAATGTAGGCTGGAGACCTTTAACACGTAAGTAGATGTTACATGTAATGTCTTGATGTTTAGCCTGTAGATGGCGCTGCTCTATCATATTTATCAGCGATATTGTCGTTGACTAATTTTCTAAAAGCCATTGTCATACTTTCGCCTGGTGTCAAACTAGTTTATTTTTCCTTTTATACACGACAAACATTTTTATTTTATTCCATTTTAGACACTACACGTCTAAACTAATGACAATATTGTTGTGACAAAAGTTGCCACTTAAACTTTTGACATGCTGTCCGTCATATTATATCGTATTTTTACAGAAGCTCTGAGAGGGGAACACTGAAATTAAACACAGGAGTGACTGTTCTAATTTTGGCCTGGCCTGTCTAGTTTTGTGATGTGGTATGGGAGCAGGGCACAGTGATGCCAAGGGCCCTGAGAACTGCATCTCTGAATGACCCTGTTCAGGCCTTGATAGGGTTATCATTTTACCACAGTACAGCTGTTTCCAAACTGCATCACGTGTACCAGGCTGCAAGCCATTGTGCTTGTGTTTTTGCCCCTTTGACGCTGATGGACTGACCTTCTCCTTACTGAATTAAATGAGATGATAAGGGCCATTGTTCATCTACATGAAAAACACTGTGATTAAATCCTCAAAATATTGTCATTTAAATAATAAAAGTCTGAAGGATGAGTGGGGTAATGCAGTGGTGCAGTAGGTAGTGCTGTCACCTCACAGCAAAAATCGCTAGTTCGAGCCTCAGCTGGGTCTGTTGGCATTTCTGTGTGGAGTTTGCATTTTCTCCCCGTGTTTGCGTGGGTTTCCCCAGGTGCTCCGGTTTTCTTCACAGTCCAAAGACATGTGGTACAGGTGAATTGGGTTGGCTAAATTGTCTGTAGTGTGAATGAGTGTGTATGGATGTTTCCCAGAGATGGGTTGCAGCTTGAAGGGTGTACGCTGCATGAAACATATGCTGGATAAGTTGGCGGTTCATTCCGCTGTGGTGACTCTACAATAGTAAAGGCACTAAGCCGAAAAGGAAATGAGGAATGAGTGATTTGCACTTGACATTGTTTAATAGTTTTTTTTAAATAATTCCAAACAAAGACAGAGCAGAATATGTGTGTATCTCTGTGAGCAGCACTTTGTATCAGAATTAATCAGATTTTGATTGAACTGAGTGAGCCAATGATTCAGTGACCCATCCATTAAGACTGCTGCTGCATTTGAAACAGAATAATGCAAAATGTGAGAAGAAACAGTATGCCAAAAAAGTAGAATGTCCATATTCAAAAAGACAATAGCAAAATAATAGCTAGATTATATGTACTGTACGTATATCGTAATAGAAGTATAGACTTAATGGCCCCATTAAGCCATTAGGAATGATAGTAAATGACACAGTGATGTGCGGAACGTACTGTATGCTGGTAGGTCATGTGAAAGTAACAACATTAAGAATCTAGTACATCTGAATTTAATTTAAACCACACACATATACTATACTGTATAGAACATATCTTTTAAAGAGCTGTGAAGTAAGTTTAAATTCGCATAGCTCACACAATATGTTATTCTGGATGAAAACTGTCGTTTATCTGAAAATGAAAATTATTTACGTTCTTCACTTTTCCCCAAACCTGTTTGCATTTCTTTCTTCTGCTAAACATAATATTTTTGAGGATGTTTGATTTTAGAGGATGTTGGAAACTTTTATCCATTGACATCTATAGTATATGCATGTCAATTGCTTTCTAATATTCATCGAAATATCTTCAATAATATGTTCAACAGAGAGAAGAACAGTTTGGAACCAGTTGAGGGAAAATGCATTTGGGTGAACTATTCCTTGCATATGGACAGGCATGAAAAATCATATACTAAAATATTTTAGTTCACAAAGAAATTTATGATGATCGGTGCATGATCTTGAATGCACATTTAATGGATGCAGGTTGGTTTATTAGCTTTAAACCTCAAAAGTCATTTCACATCAGATGCTTTGGAAAGCACTATCATTCACTGATGTGAACTCAGCAGACCCATGTGTGTGTGTGTTGTGGTACAGAATGGCATTGGTGGGAACGGAATCTTAGATATTTATTAAAAAAAAAAACAGACGGAGGACGGAAATATCCATCTGATTCACACTAACTGTCGCCAACACGCTCTTTCGCTCTCCATCTGTCTCTCGGTTTTCCTTGTTTTCCATCTTCCTTTTCTTCTTCTCTTAGGAAGCAATTTTAAACAATATGATTTCCTCTAGACTCGCTACTTTAAAGGAAACAAGTCTCTCAGGGTCTCCAAGTGCAAGGGTGTTTTCTTTCCCAAAGAGAGCAAGAGAACGACACAAGATAAGAGTTCATTTGTGCTGATTATTTTAAATCTGGTTAAAGCCCAAAATGCTAAAAATCCAAAAGCTCTTATCATGAGGTATTACGAGAGGTCAAAGACTGCTGAATTTCTTACAGATAGCAAACAATAGGACTCGAGCGCACATACACGGGCTGATGAGATGAATGACAGGCAGGAAGAACTTTCAGCTGCTCTCATGTAATTTTTTGTTTGTAAAAGGAAAGGCATTGACATTGGTTACTGACCTTGAAAGGGTGAATAATCACAGTATTGTTATTGGGTTAAATCAAGGCTAAATCTCGCTCTCAACACATGAAATCAATATGTATATCAAATTATTATCTGGTGGCTTGTTGGCTCAGTGGTTAGCATTGTCGCCTCACAGCAAGAAGGTAGCTGGTTTGATTCCTGGCTGAACCAGTTGGCATTTCTGTGTGGAGTTTGCATGTTCTCCACATGTTCGCGTGGGTTTCCTCTGGATGCTCCGGTTTCCCTCAAAGTCCAAAGACATGCGCTATAGGTAAATTAAACTAACAAAATTGGCTGAAGTGTTTGAGTGTGTGAGAATGTGAAAGTGTATGGGTGTTTTCCAGTACTGGGTTGCAGCTGGAAGGGCATACGCTGTGTAAAAAGTATGCCAGAAAAGTTGACGTGCATTCTGCTGTGGCAACCCATGATAAACAAGGGACTAAGCCAAAGGAAAACAAATAAATGAATGAAATTATTATTAATGGACTATTTAATCTGAATCCTTTTTCATAAGTTGCATCCACTAATTATCAAAGATTATATTTTCTTATGCTCAGAGTTTATGAAGCGAAGTGCCAAAATATGGGGTATTTTTACATTGTCATTCACATATTGATCCAGAAATGAAAAGACAGACTTACTGAACTCTAATTCTTCAAACTTTTTTTTTTTTTTAAATGTAAAGAATAAGTGATCATAAAGATTTTTTTTCATGTTTTGGATTATTAAAACATCATGTTGACAAATTAGTTAAACCCGGCATTGTTTATATAATAGCAAAGTATGAAGAATTACGACAACAAGTATTGGACAGTGATCCTTAAATACAGATTTGTACTCATCGGTTCATTTTTTTTAAATATTAGTGACAACTATTTACATTTTTTCAATAAAAAAAAACAAAAAAAATTGGTACATTTATGTTAGTTTATTTCATTGTGGCTACCCTTGATAAATCAGGGATTAAGCCGAAAGAAAATTAATTAATGGGATATATGAGCAATTCCAGCGTTATGGATGTGACATTTGCAATAAAAACCCAAACAAAAATTCACATAAAAAGTAAACATTTAATCGAAACTTTTGTTTTTATTTTCCAGAACAACTGACCACAGAGTTGAGGGACCAGAAAAATATCAATCTGTAAATATGTTTTGTACTTTATATGAGGAA